TTACACCGTGGGACTATAGCTGAAGTTTGTATTGTTTGGAGGGAGTCATCTTTCTTAAATGAGTCTTTGTTGATTAAACAGAGTGCCTTTCCCAGTGTAACCCACATTTGTTGGGTATTGAACACACAATCCTGATCTATAATGCTATTTATCTAGCACTTGAAAGTTTGAAAATTAATTTAAATACATAATTTCTTATGAGTTTCAGCACAAACCTATGAGATAGGTGGTGATGATGATGTAGTCATCCAATTGTTCAGTCGTGTCCAGCTCTTTGTGATCCCATTGACCATATGGTCCAGCAAAGATACTGCAGTGGTTTGTCAGCTCCTTCTATGGTGAATTAAGACAAGGTAGGTACTAATCAATTAATCAAAAAGCTGTTTATTAATCACCTACTATTGCCACTGGACTTGGATAACTGGAACTTGGGGCAACTCTGCCTTACTTAAATCCAATTCACGCACAAGTCTGATTTTGCTCTTTCTAGCATATGAAATAATGCTTTTGTTCCATTAGTCACTCTCTCCCTCTTCCCCTTTCTTCACCTTGGGACTTTAAAAGCAGCATTCCCACATGCCCCTCTGCCCCCTCAGGGGCTGAAGGGTAGAGCTGGGTTGCCCTCTGTAACTGTTCTCCCTGCAAGTCTGTGCAAGGGTTTAATTTAGTGTTCTTCTGAAGAACTCCCAAATGGTCATGCCGACTTAGATCAATGGGAAAGGAAGAATCTTTGGCAAAATTGTAAACTCTATATTTTCCTTTTGGCCCCTTTTCAGTAGTATGCCAGCTTCACTTTGCCACCTGGAGAAGTGGGAGATGGTGGGAATGGACTGTATCTTATGATGCTATTACAACTACTGTGTTGGTTTGGTTTGTTTCATTGTTTCTTTGTTACAAAGGACAGGCTCACTAGGTGAAGGAGTGGAGGCTGTAACTGAGAAGTTTAATGTAAGAACACAAGTGTAAGGAACAAAGTTTTTTAAAACATTTTCTTCTGAAAAGACTTTCACACAAATGACAAAGAAGACTTGAAGTGTTGCTTGCATTTTTACATGACAGGAAGACTCATGATGGAGGAATGAATCCCTAAATGTAGAATTTCAGGCATCATGGAACAGGAGGAGATAAAGCTATGCCCCTCACCTGTGGCAGGAGACAGGATTGTGTTATAATTTATCATATGAGATAATGAGATTCATTTTTGTGGGAGGTCTTACAGAAATTCACTTGTTAACGTTACAGTCAGTACATGGGTAGGAGCCAATTGGATGGGTCTTCTAAAAGTCATGTCCAAAAATATAAAAAAATAAAAATCAGCATAAAATAGAGAAAGATTAACCTGGCAGCAGAAGTAGTCTATCCTCAGAGATGGTGTGTAATGGGTTATTGATAAGATGGGGGTCTCCTGAAAGTTGCTGAAATGTAACTAAGATAAAATGAATACCACGGGTGGGGCATGGAGAAGAGGGGAATCAAGGAAGGCTGAGCCAAAGAGGCGACACAGAAGCAACACCTTGAAAGAAGATAAAGATTTTAAAAGATAGGGTTGAGGAGAGAGTGCCCTTTAGCCTGCTAGAATAGCTGAAATGGGAGACGGAATGTTGAGCTCATGGAACAATAAATAGGAACATTTGGCTGGAAATTAGAGTGTGTGAAGGGGGTAGAGGGATGTCCCATGGTGTGGTAGGAAGAACACTGGGTGTAGAGTTAGAGTATGTAGAGTTGAATCGTAGATTTTAATCACTACCATGTATGTGACTTTGGGCAGGTCAGCACCTCTGAGGAAAGTGAGAGGATCAGACTAAGACAGCTTTCTTCTAACTCAAAAGCTGTTATCCTGTGAAAGTAGGATTAAAGCTGAGCTCTGGAAGGCCTTAAACACCAGTCTAAGGTGTTTGCTTTTTTTTTTTAGCTTAGAGGCAGTGGGGAGCCCCTGAAGTTTTTTGAGTATGGGACTTCACTTGACATACCTGTGCTACAGTGTAGATCGTTGATTTTGACAGCTGTGTGAAGAACAGACTGAGGAAGAGAGAGATTGGAGGGAGGGTGATCAGTAAGAAGATTCCTACAGCAATTCAGTGATCAGGTACTGAACTAGGCAGGAGTCAGAGGAATATAAAAAAGGTGACAAATGCAGGAGCTGTTATGGAGAGAGATTTGGTGGGACTTAGGAAGTGAATGAGTGTGAGGGAGACAGAAGAATCCAAATTGGATGAAACTTGGGTGACTGGGAGGACAGTCAACAGAAATCAGGAAGTTGGGAAGAAGGCTGGCTTCAAGGAAAGAAAGCTCTCAAATTCACTTTGGAGCACAAAGAGTTTAAGGTGCCTGGAAAATGGGGCTTCTTGACTTGTTTTGTGCCATGGATCCCTGGGCAGTCTGGCAAAGCCTACAGACCATTGCTTAGCATACTGTTTTGAATGCATAAAAAAAATATAGGATTTACAATGGGAACCCAAAAGTCACTGAAAAGAAGGATGTATGTTTCCCCTCTTCCCAGTTCAGGGGTCCCCAGGTTAAGAACTCTTGCCCCAGCTGACAAGTGGAGATGCAGCACCAGGATTTAAGGGAGAGATCAGGACTAGATATAGAGATTTGGAAATCATCAGTTTAGAGGTGATAATTAAACCCATGGGAGCAGATGAGATAACCCCAAAATGCTATAGAAAGGTCAAGATCAGTGAGAATTAAGGAAAGGCCACCAAGTTTAGCAATAAACATCATAAGATCATAGATTTAAAGCCAGAATCCCCTGGAAATCCAACTCCTTTCTTTTACAGATGAGGAAACTGCTCCATAAAGGGGTTAAGTAACTTGTCCAGAGTCATACAAGTCAACAAGTATCTGAAGCAAGATCTGAATACAGGTCTTCCTGAATCCAGGGCCAGTACCCTATCCACTACATCCACAGGTGTTAATCATTCAGCCAGCTGGCTCCATGCAGCCCATAACACTCCAAAGTACTGCCTGAACTTGATTAAAATGTAAATGGAAAATATTTAACAAAATAAATAAAAATACAATAAAACGTATGTGGTTTACTGAGTCAATATGTGGCCTGCTGGCATCCTTATGTACAGTTTTAGTTGTTCAATCATTTGTGACCCCCTTTGGGGTTTTCTTGGCAAACATACTGGAGTAGTTTGCCATTTCCTTCTCCAGCACACTTTACAGATGTGGAAATTGAGGCAAACAGGGCTAAGTGACTTGCCCAGGATCACACAGCTAGTAAGTGTCTGAAGCCAGATTTGAACTCATGAAGATCATCCTGACTTCAGGCCAGGTACTCTATGCGCTATGGTACCATGTAGCAGCCCCAAAAGGTTTGCAACATGTTGTCCTAACTGTTTTCATTTGATACTCATAACAACCCTATGAAATAAGCACTAAAGCTATTATGCCTATTTTACAGATGGGGAAACAGAGGCTCAGAGAGGACATGTGACTTGCTCATAGTCACAGAGGAAGTGTTGGAGACAGGATACGAACCCAGTTCTTTCCCAAATGAAAGTTCAGCACTTTCCCCAACACACTACACCATTTCTTCATGTGATTACAGAGATCATAGATTTAGAGTTGCAAGGGACCTTATAGGCTACAGAGTCCAATCCTCATTTCCAGTTGAGGAAACTTCCCCAAGGTCACAAATAGTAAATATCTGGGGTAGGATTTGAACCCAGATCCTTGGACTTCAGAGTTGGGGCTCTTTCCACTGAAGGATGCTGCTTCTATAGTTTAGTAGAATCATGAAGATGCAGTAACCTGCACATAAGTGTTCATCAATAAATACTCGTTGAATGAAGGAATAAAATGTATCTGCCTCAGTTGTTAGCGTGAATCAGTGGAGGAACAGTGGAAAAGATACAATTGAGGAATGAGGAGAAATCCAATCTCTATGTCTCTGACATCAAGCTAGCTTTGGTTTCAAGTTCCTGTTACTTTATTATCTTCATTCCCCATTCCCCATCTTAATTTACAGTTCTCAGAAGGAAAGCACAGTTTTCTTTTTATCTGTATATATTTTATTTGTTCTCTTTTCCTTCCATTTCATTCTGGGGAAAGGAATGGGATAAATCTTTCCCTTTCATCACACACACTCATACATACGCACATGTGTCCAAACTCTTAAACACATGTGTATATGTGTGGTAATACAGTTATGCACACTCTAAGACAGACTTGGTCAGAATATGTTGTAGCTGACCCACTGCTTTTTTAATGACAAGGTTATTTTTAAAAACAATGTTAGCCCCGTGCTAACTCTTTCCAGGAATCAGAGAGACGAGTGACTAGGAAGAGAAAATCAAGGTTTGGGGAGCAACCCCAGAACCTTCAGGCTGAAAGGTCATTTTCCAATATCCGAAGATTTCCAGTGTGAACCCCGAAGAGCCAAGATCCCACTGAATTAGCACTTTGGGAGGCCCCAAAACTCAAGTCAGACCCAGGAGCAGCCCTGCAAAGTGCAGATTTCTTCTGGCCAATGTCCTTTAGCCCTGGCAGATAAGGGAGAGTATCTGAGGTAAGAAGTCAGTCTCTCTGCCTCATACAAACCTCCTGTTAATGCAGGAGATGTAGAAGTAGATTCTGGGGAAAGACCCTTCTCCATGACAGAGCATTCCTCACTCACTGCTTCAAGAAGCTCAATTTGAAATAGTGGCCTTGATGACATTTCCAAAAAGCTAATAAGAATGATTACCTTCACCTAGTATATGTGTACTGAAGACCACAAAGCATCTACTTGGCAATATTTAATATAGCCTAATAGATATTTTCATTAAGAATTATCTTCTGGAGCAGCAACATTTATCCTCATCTTAAGATGTCATGCCATTAGAGAGCAGGTTTTGTTTTTATAGAGGAAATAGAGGAACAAAGGGTTTGACTTGGCCACACACTGAGTTAGGGGGAGGGAGGGGAGGGAAGAGGGAGAGAGGGAGTCAGGAATGAGGTCCACATGTTCTGATTTTCCATCTGGTGCTGAGGACATCCTTCTTTTCCACTAGAGAGTCTTCCTCCTCAGAACATGGCAGAAAGGGGATGTACCTAGGTTGCCATGGCAGTCATAAGCTAGGAAGACCATTTCCAAAAGGGAAAGCAAGCTCAGGCTCATGGACTAAACATGGTACAAGTTGAAACAAGTGTTTCAACACTTAGCTCATCTAGTTTAGTCCTTGAAAAACTGATTTGGCCATCTCAAAACTTGCCTTCAAAGCTGAAAGTTTGTCTCAAAAGTCCTGATTTTTTTTTAAAGAAAGACTATGTCTTCTTCTATGCTTTAGAAGGATTCATATTATTATTCACACTAAACCTCCTTTTTTCCTGTATTCCAGCCCTGCCCATCCCCAAATTTGTTTTTACTTATATATAAAAACTGTAAGAATTTCAGAGAATTACAAAGGTTAGGACTCAGACATAGGCACGTTCGATGGACTACATCAAGAAATTACTTAAGAAAAAAGTGTCCAGAGCTCAGTTGCTTGGGTAGGCAGTCCCCTGAAAGCTAAACCCTGGGTTGACTCCAGGTTTGGTGATGAGAGGTTTTAAATAGGCTTCTGTTATGAAGTTTGTCAATGAACATCCTGAATCAAATTTCTGTTGGTGGAAAGCCTTTTACACTGGGATCCTCTCTTCCCACTCCCCTAAAGAACATTACAGCCTAGAAGCTAAGAGGCAACAGTGATCCCTTCTGACTTCAGGCCGCTTCCGTATCTTTGGCATTCCTGATATCTCATGAGTTCCTAATGGAGCTTCTCCATTCCCTGCAGGTGCTGTTGCTGCTACTTCCAGAGAGCTGACTCCAGCAACTTCATCAAGGGTGGACAATAGAGCTCTTTTTTTACATTTTAGTATCCTGTACTATGGTACCGTCCTGGGGAGAGATGAGAAAAGAAATGAATTAGGAACAAGGGACTGGGGAAATGTTGCCGATACTTGTACGATTCTCCTAGAATATAAAGTTTAAGTTCCCTTGCTTTCTATTTGTGGCTCTCTCCACAGTGTGGCACCATCTTGCTTTTTTATATTATTTCAATTTTTGCCCTAGTCTAGTAGGGTGATAAGACACACATTCATTTAACTACATTCAATGATTCCCAGTCTCATCATTGTGAGTACTGTCTCCTTCTTTAACCAATACTATGACCAAAAATGCATCATTTTATTTACTGGTGATGAATTTCTGCAAATTTAGTCAGGATTTTCTATGAATGACTGACATAAAGTCTGTTGCAAGGCCCAAAGGGTTTTACATATGCTATATTTCAATATTTCTGTGATTCTTTAAGAACCTGTGATTCTTAACTACTAGCTATTTCTCATACATAAAATTATCTCTCTCACATCTGGGTCTTTACGTAGGCTGGAACCCATGCCTGGAATGTACTTTTTCCTCACTCCTGCCTCTTAGAATCCCTAATTTCCTTTAAGACATACTTAGGTCCCTTCCAGTTGTTAATACTTTCTGCCTCTTGAAATTAATTTATATTTACATAAATACCTATCACAACAGTAGAACATAAGACAGAGAGTCTTCATCTTTGTCTTTGAATATCTAGTAGCTAGCATGATTCTTTGAACATAGTGCAAGATGCTTCTGAGGAGGAAGAAAAGACATTCTTTTAGAAACATATTGTGAGGCTAAAATGGCAACTTTGTTCTTTGGTGGTGGGGGTGGGGGTACCTTATGGCTGACCATCTGCAAGAACCAGGATGTAAGCCCTAACCACTACAGCCTTCCATTACAGGAACCTAAGGACTTATCTTTCCTTCTATGGCAGACTATAAGGTCCAGCTAAATGCCAAAGAATGCTGCTGATCTGTTTACTCAAAGCAGACCTAAAAAGCTGTATGAGCCAAGGCTGGGGGCCCTGGAGTCTGAAGCTGTTCCTAGAGAGCCATATTCCTTTCCATGTTAATATATTTCTTTCCCTTCTGGTTGGCTACTCACTTTCTTTGAGCACCAGTCTTTGGACCCACTGCTCAGGAGAACCTCTCTGGGCTCTTTAAGAAACTTAGTTAAAAAATTCCTCCAACACTTAATGCATGTTTGCTGGACTGTATTGAGTTGGAGTTCATGTCACTCCCCTGTGTGTATACTATATTCTGACCATACTGGACTATTCTTTGCATCCTGATCACATGTAGCACTCTCACAGCTCCATGTCTTTGGTCATTGAAATGCTCTTTCTTTCTCTTTTTTCCCCATATGTATTTTTATTCAACCTTTTAAACCTAATTCAAATGGAGATAGGTACTATTATTATCCCCATTTTACAATGAAAAAACTGAGGCAGATAGGTTAAGTGATTTGCCCAGGGTCAAGCAGCTGAGGCTAGAATGAACTCAGGTCTTCCTGATTCCAGGCCCAGTCCTCTGTCCATTGTGCCCCCTAGATGCCACCATGTTGTTGAGCTGTCTTGGAGGCAGGGGAGGGATCTCAGGGCAACCAGAAGTGGCTTGAGGGTCACTGAGATGGGCAAAGACCATCTCAACCAACCTCATTATTTAGTCAATCACTGTCTGCTCCCTGAGCCTATAGGCTGGATCTGCTTGGACGATTGTTGAAGTGAGGGAGGAGAAAAGAATAAAGGCATTGCCTATGTAAATCCAAAACAAATAAGAACCATTCTTCAAAGCCTAGGTCAAACCCCACATGAAAGTTTTCTTTCTCACCTTAGTCTACTTTGAGCCTCATACACTACCTGGAATTCTTATTTAATTTCTGATGTCTGTAAGTCTTGGGACTGATCTGTGATTTCATCCTCATAGAGATCTCCAGGTGAAGAAACTCCTTCTTCTGATAAAGATTTGCACCTGTTCTACAATTTATAGACTTAGAATCTCAAATTTATAGCCTTATGGAACTGAGAAGGTATGACTTGTCCAGCGTCACATAATCAGAATGATTCAGACCAGGTTTGAAGCTGAGTTTTCCAGACTCCAAGGTCAATTTTCTATCTACTATCCACAGCTGCCCTTGTATATCCCTTGTCTCCCCACTGTTCAAATATTTGCCTCATAAAGGTGCTGTAGAAATCTCTGAGCTAATCTCTTGTACTGCAAATTGATCATCAAGAGTGCTTAAGAAATCCAAGCAACTCTTACTTTAGTTAACTGGAGAGTCAACAATGATTTCAGCATGGCATATATTATAGAATGTCAGAGTCAGAAGGGATCTCAGAGGTCATGTAGGACCATCCAAATCTGATTCATCCATCTGATCCATAATACCCCTAACTTCTGCTTGAAGAGCACCAATAATGGGAACTTAAAACCTCACCCCCTTAACCAACTCCCCAAGGCAGAGTGTTTGGAAAGCTTTAATAGCTAGGACGTTTTCCCTAATTTTGAACCAAAAACCTGACTACCTCTAACTTCTACATGTAGATACTAGTTGTGCCCACTGGGGCCAAGCAGAAAAATTTTGATCTTTTTTCTACATGTTGTTGTTCAGTTGTGTGTGATTCTTCATGATCCCATTTGGGGTTTACTTGGCAAAGATACTGGAATGGTTTGCCACTTCCTTCTCTAGTTCATTTTACAGATAAGGAAACTGAGGAAAACAAGTTTAAGGACCTGCCCAGCATCACACAGCTGGTGTCTGAGGCTGGCTTTGAACTCATGAAAATGGGTCTTCCTGATTCCAAGCCCAGCACTCTATTCACAGTGTTACCTAGCTGGTGGTTTTTTCTACATGGCAGATCTTCAAATGCCTGAAGACAGAAGGTGTATTTTCTCTATGTTTTCTCATTTCCAGGCTGTTTTCTTCAAGCAATACTGGGATGGCATGGCCTATAGTTCCTTCATCTTGGCTTCCCTCTTCTGGATACTCTCCTATTTGTTATTGCCCCTCCTAAATTATGGTGCCTGGAACTGGACATAGTGCTCTAATTATGACCTGATTGGGGCAGGACAGCAGGACAGCAGGACCATCACACTAAAGTCTCAAACAGCCATCTTTACTTTATAGCCATGTGGAGAGCAAAGGACTTGCACTAAATGACTTTTCTTCTCATTTTTCCCATGTGATGTGGCTGGACTTCAAGGCAGTTAGAGCAAGTGTGATTTGAGAAGCCCTAGAAAGTGTCCTTCACTGTCCACCTCACCTCAGCTACATCCAACTTCTTCCTAGAAAGTGTGCCTCACCACCCACCCCACCTCAGCTCCATCCAATATTTTCTTCACTTGTGCCTGACGTCTCATAGAACTCCTGCTGCTGCCTTCAGCCCTAGGTTTTAGATTCTTCTTACTCTTTCCTAATGCTTCTCAAACTGTAAATTCACATGTACTTGGTGGCAGCGAGGTGTATCTGGGTGGCTAGAAGAAGGAGGAGGGTGAGCCCAGGGCAGAACCACCTTGTGATGGCTTTGCTCCATCCTTACAATGCAGACCTAGTGAGTAGGTGTCAAGAGTAGGGAATTACTGACGACCAGTTACTTTTCAGGCACCCAGGTGGAATCACTTTCGTGTGCGTAAAAATTCTAGAATCATTGATAAGGGAACAAATGCAAAAGAATCATCTTATCTTGTCCTTGTGATCCACTGGAGAAGAACGACCCATTCCCCACTCTAGCAAGGCACAAGGTTAGAGAGGTTGTTACACAATGAGGCCAGTTACAAATTTGTAAAGAAATAGGCATGCGATAAAGGAGGCATGTGATTACTAGCAATACTACTGATTTACCTCCGCACTGCAGGTGGATTGCACACTTGGGGCTTCATTGGTGGTCTCAGAATCTGTTGCCAGCTGAGAATACCCCGTTCCAGCGTTGCTTTCTTGCTTGTGTGTTATTTCTTGGCTGTCTGTGTTCTCAGGAATACCTGCCTTTTGCTCATTCTCTTCTTTGTCTTTTTCTGGCTCAGTGGCATTGTCTCCTTCCTTCTCTTGGGGGGTATTTTGGGTTCTCTCCTCATTTGTGCCTGTGGCAGTACCCTGTTTCGGTTCCTCATCTTTAGCCCCCGTGTTCTTCTGTCCAGGTTTCTCCTCTTTATCTCCTGTGCTTTTCTCAGATGTTTCCTCCTTCTCTGAAGTAGGGTCTTCAGTTGTCTTTTCCTTTCTAACCCCTCCAGAACCCCCTGGAGATGCTTCCTTTTCATCTGCCTTTGGGCTCTCACTAATTTCCTCTTTATTATCTGTGGCTGTCTGGTGTGATTCTCCTTCATCATCTTCCACTGTATTCTGCTCTTTCCCCTCTTTATTTTTCACAGCATTCCTGCATGATGTGGCTTCTTCCAAGGCCTTGCTCCTTTCCCCTGGGTTCTCTGTCATACTGCGTGATCTCCTTATCAGAGGTTTTTCATCTGACTCCAGCTTTCTCCTCAGCTCCTTGCCCATTGCCCTGTTACTAGAGAGGGGAGACCCCAAGGCTTTGTTCTTGGGAGTGAACACCTCATCACTGTCCTCTTCCTTGGCACCATTCTCCTGAGATGATTCAGCTGCCCCCAAATCTCCCAGATCCACCCCACAGTCTGACTGAGACCGTCTGAATCTCCTGGAAGGAGGCCTCCTCTTTATTGACCCTCGTGTCCGCACCTGCAAGATGAAACCAACAAAGAAAAGTGTTATGACATCTGATGGTGTCCTGGCCTTGGCACTGTTACCCAGTCAAAACAGCTTGGATATTGATAACCATCCATCCCTTGCCTTGATACACCTTCTTCCTCCAGTTCAGCCTTCAATGGAAGTAAAATGGGGGCATTTCCTTCCATGAAAAGGAGGACAGGTCAGCATTAGCAAGGTCTAAAAAACCCATAGCTTGTGGGAATTCAAAGTAGAGTGGACCAAAGCTACCCAAGCTACTGTCCCCTCTGGAAATAATGCAATTGACCTAATGAAGGCTTCACATGTATCTGTTAGATCTTGTCAAGGCTATGTGAAATGTGAGTCTAAATGTTAGACAGATGTTAGATGTTAGAGACAGATTGTCATAGTGAAGGGTGCACTGGACTTAGAACCAGAATGACCTGGGTTCAAGTCTTACTAGCTATGCGGAAATACTTGAGAGATTTCTCAGGGCCAAAGGCAACTCTCTAAGACAAAACTGCATAACAATTGCCAATATATGTGTCCTGGTGGAGGGATGAAATCATTACTACCACCACCACTATGTCTACCACAAAATCCCTACTTTAAACAGCCAGTATGTTTCTAAACAAGTTGTACATGAACTTAGAAAATTTCTATCTTTAACTGTATTTTCCCTTCAACATATGCTCAACTATCAGAGATACCAGTTTTTTTAATTGTGAATTCATCTTCAAGACTTACATGAACTGATGCAAAGTGCAGTGAGTAGAACCAGTAGAACCTTGTACACAGTAACAGCAATATTGTAAGATGAAGAATTGTGAATGACTTAGCTATTCTCAGCAACGCAACACAATAGTCCAAGACAATCCCAAAGGACTAATAGTGAAGCATACCATCCACCTCCAGAGAAAGAACTGATATTGTCTGAATACACACTGAAGCATGCTGTTTTTCACTTTCATTCTTTTTTCTTTTTATTGGAATCTTCTTGTACAAAATGACTATTATGGAAATGTTTTACATGATGGTACATGTATAACCTATATCTGATTGCTTACCAGCTTAAGGAGGGGGAAGGGGAGGGAAAGATAGAATTTGGAACTCAAAACATTTTTTAAAATGTTAAAAATTGCAACTGGGGAAAAATAAAATATAATATATTAAAAATAAATTATATATTACATATTAAAATTACATATTAAAAATGAATAAATGCAAGTGGAAAAAAAATAAAATAGATTAAGCTTAAAAAAAGAAATTGATGGGGTGCTTGTGTTTGGGTGCTTGTACTTGGATCCCAATTTCTCCCTAGCCTCAGAAACACTATCCCTGACAGTTTCTCCCCAGCCTAAGGACACTGTGCCTAGCAATTACTCATGAGTGGGCCCCAGCAAGACCCTTATCTCTTTCCCTGGTGCAGTTACAAACAGCACCTGAAGGAATTATTAGTTTGAATTGGCTTTGCACTGGGTCATAAAGACATACTACTGCCCTACCTCATTATCTGCATCCTGGGCTCCTCATTAACTGTATTCTAGACTTAAGACGTATGTATACTCCCTACATCTATCTTGTCAAACAAGACATTGATTGGTGGCAGACTGGACAACTCTCAGTTGTCCCTGACTGCTAGTTAACTTAGTGAAGTAGCAGGCCTAAAACCACACCTCCATGTGGCCCCTTGTGGGCTTTCCCTAGTGAACTCTGGGTAAAACGCCTGCGCAGTAGGTACAAGAAGTGCATGTTCTTTTAAGAACTGACCACTCCTTAACCACTCCCTAATCCCACCCTGAATCCCCTAGTTAGCATATTTGGCACATGTTCTATTGTATTTTATCCCTATGCAAACTTTAACTGTACCACTTTAAGATTACAGGAATCCTTAAGAATCCTTGCCCGCTGAAAAGCATAACAATAAACTTTGCCACCTTGACTTAAAGAATGCTTGAGTCTGTGAATTCATTCCAGACGACCCATCGTGTACTTCAGTCTTTGAGGGGTCACAACCTTTCAACCTCTCATACCGTGACAAAATCACAATAAAGAGAAAATAAAGGAAATTTTTTAAAGTTGTGAATTTATCTTCAATTGGCTGGTACCTCTCAATAGTCTTTGCTGTCCATGCTGGTTAGTACTTTATGAAACTACAGTGGGTTACATTTGTATTAGGCTTTGAGATCTCAAAAGTGCTTGCTTTATAAGAACCCTGAGCTGGTGTCGAATCTGATTTCCTTCAGGGATCCTTGATGTAGAAGCATAGATTTGGAGCTGGAAGGCCACTCAGAGGCTATCTGCTCTAACCTCCTCATTGTGCAGATGAGGAAATGGAGTCCCAGAAACCCAAGGACACTGTTAACAAGTGTCAGAATGGAAAATTGAACCCAGGTCTCTTGAGTGATCCCAGGACTCTACCACACAATTACAATCTCTGTAAACAACTACCTAAAAATAGAAGTTCATGGGGCAGCTAGATGGTGCAGTGGATAGACCACTAGCCCTGGAGTCAGGAGGACCTGAGTTCAAATCCAGCCTCAGACATTTATTAGCTGTGTGATCCTGGGCAAGTTACTTAACTCTGATTGCCTCAGTACCCCCTTCCCCCCCCAAAATAGAAGCTCACACTTCATGGTGCAGTATAAATAAAGGTGAATGTAGAATCAAAGGGTCTGGGTTCAGTCCTTATTCAATCCTGTGCAGCCTGTGTGAGCTTATAGACAACTGAATTTAATCTCTCAGGACTTAGTTTTCTCAAGTGTAAAATTTGGGGAAGGGGTGGACTAGATAACCTCTAAGTTCCCTTGTATCTCTAAAGCTATGATTCTATTTCAAGAAATTCTGTAGCAAAGCCTTTTGCAAAGGAAATGATTACTTTCCATTTACTTTTTTATCTATTTTATGTGGTAAAATGTCACCCAGTTGAGTTTTCTTAAGGCAGAATATAGAACACTCCTGCTGTCAAGGTTAGTGAATGGCATGTGGAACATATCTCTTTAATGAAGACCAGAAAGATTCATCAAACAGCTGTCCCTGCATAAATGACCCTGTGTAACTGCAGTGTGGGAAGTTATCCTGTGTGCACAGATTCATCAGAACATTAGCTGTCATCTTTGGCTTTGGATGTCACTTTATCTACGGAGCTGGAGGCAATTTTAACTCCTCTCCTCTCCTTTTTTAGGGGGAAGGAGTAGGGAAGGTGGGGAGGGGAGAGGTTTATCTAACTACATTCTCTGCCTGTCAAAGGAATGTATAAGGGGATCTTTAGGAGGAAGTAGGAAGTAAGCATTCAAACTCTACTACAGAGAGTTCCGATGGCCTGGCCATGTTTGAATGCCAAAGGTACACTTGCCTAAAAGATTATTTTATGGAGAACTCATACAAGATACGCACTCACAATGGTGGTAAGAAGCAATATAAGGACACTCTCAAGGTCTCTTTTAAGAACATTGGAATTGAATAGGAATGTATATGTATAGCCTATATCAGATTGTCGTGGGGAGGAAGGGGGAGAAAAATTTAAAACTCGAAAGCTTATGGAAATGATTGTTGATAAATAAAAATAAATTAATTTAAAAAATTTAAAAAGTAACATTAAAAAAGGACTTTGGAATTGATTGTGTGACATGGGAGACACTGGCATAGGATCACTCATCATGGGAGTACCTTCATCAGAGAAGGTGCTGTGCAGAATTGAAGTAGCTCAAAAGAAATTCGAGATGTGCAGATTTAAAGAATTCACCCCAAATGTTCACATGAGCATTCTGAGCTCATCTTGGTCTGATCAGCAACAGTTGAATGCATCATAACTTGACTTTAACATACTGATGCCATTTTGGTCCTCTTCAGGAAGGAAGGACAACCAAACCAGGAAATAAGGGAGGAAGAGGGATGAGGTAAGAAGGTAGGATCGAATATATTCTCACTTCAGCCCAAGGCTAGTCATGACACTGGTTTCTCATGCACCTCCAAATGCTTTTTGCTTTTTTCTAAGTTCAAAATTTCTCTGGGTAATAGTAGAACTTGCAGAGTTTCTGTCTAAATCCAAGCTAAACCAAATGCTCACTTCTCCCTTTTAAAAACCTTACTTGTCATTAATATCTTTGGTTTTTACATCACCTTTCTTTCCAAATAAATCCCTCCCCTCTTCCCTTCCTAGTGAGTCATCCCTTGTAACAAAAAAGAAAAAAAAAGCAATTCAGCAAAACCAGTCAACACATCAACCCTACCTGACTGTATACAATAGTCCATACGCATTGTTCCTCACAACTACAAGGAAGGGAGGGAACTCTTTTTTCTCAGCTCTCATCCAGCATCCAACTTCATCACTATAATTATCCAGCACTAATTTCAGTTGTGCATTCTTTCCATTTGCATTGTTGTAATCATCTGTAGTCATGGTATATATTGTTTTCCTGAAATATGCTTGCTTCACTTTGCATCACTTCATATAAATCCGCCAATCCTTTTCTAAATGCTTCAGAGTCATCATTTCTTCTAAGCACAATAATATTCCTTATGTTCACGTACCATAATTTGTTTAGCCATCCCCCAGCTGATAGCCAAATGGCTACTTTCCCCCAGATTACAAAGCTCTCTTTTGGACTCAAGACATACCTTATTGTAACAAGGTAGATGGCTGCCTTCAGGGGGTTGGTCAAAGCTGACTGGCACTTCTTCTGGTTCAGTGGACCGTGATCTAACACCTGGACTGCTGGGGGTGGAAGGTGGGCTATGAAATGGAGATACAATGGCCTTTAATCCAGGACTTTTAGGTGAAGCCCCTGGCAACAGGGCAGCAGGATCAAAGGCTAAATTGGCCTGTGGAAAGAAAATGAGGAATTTCACTTTAGGGTGGGAAGAGAATCCCTTTTAATCTGCAAATCGCCTGGCAGAAGTGGCTGTGCACAAGTACTATGTCTGCTTTTCATATTACCAACAAAGAATCAAATGCCCGTTGGTTCTCACATGGTTCTATTTGCTGTGACTTTTCCCCCTCTCACTCATGTCCCTGCACATTGGCCATGGCCTACGAGGGTCCTACCCCATTAAGGTTTCAGGAGGCAGCAGCGTGGACCTAGCACATATTGTTTCCTAACAAACACTAAATTGTAATGTCAGTGGCTCAAATCAGGGATTGGCATCTACCTACCACTAGGGTATGAGGGGTCTTCACAGCTTTAGAGATAATCACCCTCTTCCTCTCCCTAGACAGTGCCAATTGCTTCATCTTTCCCCAGTCTAAAGGGGTGGGGAAGTAGCAGAGTGGATTGTAGCATAATCCACTTTGAGTCAGGAAGACTTGAATTCAAATCCTGCCTTAGACACTTACTAGCCACATGAAATAGGGCACTTAACTTTCCTCAGCCTCAGTTTCCTCATTCATAAAATTCCTTCCAGGGTTGTTGTGAGGATCAAGTGAAATAACCTATATAAAGGGCTTTGCAAACCTTAAAGCACTTTATAAATGCTAGCTCATTATTATTATTAGAGTTATAGATATGGCAGCTCTGAGAGCCATCCCTGGACAGGCAAATCATACAACATGTCATCTTCAGTGAAACCTTTATACAGGTGATAACTGATTAAAAGCAACCTTGAAGATAAAAAGAAATAATTAAAGGGAAAACATATAACAAAAGAGCAACTGGAATCTGAAGGCTGTGTGAAAAAGAAAGGATGTGGGAGTGGGGAAGGGCACTGTCACTCCAAAGCCAGCCCTAGTTCTGTGCCTATAGTCTTGGGGGGTTGGGTCAGGGGGGATTACTTGTTACCAGTATTTCAGGTTGTTTTTGTTTGTTTTTTTAAACATCAGCTCCTCTACTATGTGGCAGAAAAGTTCCTTGGACTAATCTTATTCTCCCATGTGGTATATCTTTCTAAACATCTTTTAACCTTTCTTTTTTTACCAGGACTATGATTTTACTAATACAGAGAACTCTTCCAATTTTCTCTACAGACCAAAAACTACTCTGCAACTTGTAGTTTCAGAGACTTGCTTAGGGTGCCAAGTGGTTAAGGGAGTGCCCAAGGTCACACAGCCCATATGGCACAGAGGGATCTAAATCTTTCCAACTTTCCTATCCGTTACACTACTCTGCCTCCCCTTAACATCATGCCATATAATTGTTGTAGTGTTTGTACACTGGATTTATTTCATTTAGAGCACTCACTGTGTTATAATAGCCAATATTACATAGTGCTTTAAGATGTCCAGAAAAATTTCCTCCAGTCTTGTGAAGTAATAGTACAAATATTATTATCCTCATTTCAGAAGCTAGCAGATGGGAATTGAGTCTCAGGCTGCTAGAAGCAGAACTGAGATTAGAGTCCAGGTCTAGTTGATTTCAAGTACAATATTTCTTTCATTAACACCTCAATTCATTATCTATGGATGTGTATGATTCCATGATTCCACAGTGGAGTTTTGGCTTTGCTTTTGTTTGCTTACCTCAAAAAGCTTAGGAGAAATAGTACACCATTGATTCTTAAATAAGCACCCAGCATCTTTGATTTGGATACATCCTAGAGCAAGTCAACTGGCTCCCTCCGTATCTCCCTCTCTTCTCTCCTCTTCTCTTCTCTTCTCTTCTCTTCTCTTCTCTTCTCTTCTCTTCTCTTCTCTTCTCTTCTCTTCTCTTCTCTTCTCTTCTCTTCTCTTCTCTTCTCTTCTCTTCTCTTCTCTTCTCTTCTCTTCTCTCCTCTCCTCTCCTCTCCTCTCCTCTCCTCTCCTCTCCTCTCCTCTCCTCTCCTCTCCTCTCCTCTCCTCTCCTCTCCTCTCCTCTCCTCTCCTCTCCTCTCCTCTCCTCTCCTCTCCTCTCCTCTCCTCTCCTCTCCTCTTCTCTTCTCTTCTCTTCTTTCTCCCTCTCTTTTTGTTTCTGTCCCTCTTTGTCTCTCTTTTTTCTCTCTTTGTTTCCTTCTCCCTTTCTTTCTCTCTCTCTTTTCTTTCTTTGTTTCTCTGTTTCTCTTTCTTTGTCTCTTTTCTCTCTCTGTGTCCCTCTCCCTCCCCCTCCCTCTCTCTCTCTGTCTCTCTTTGTCTCCCTATTTCTCTCTCTCTCTCTCTCTCTCTCTCTCTCTCTCTCTCTCTCTCTGTCTCTCTCCCTCTCCCTCTCTCTCTTCTCTCTGCCTCTGTCTCTCTGTCTCTATCTGTCTCTTCTTAATAATAGTTCACCTTTCTATAGTGCTTTAAGATTTCCCTAAAGTGCTTTCCTCACAGTGCAGGCTGTTGCTGGTAGGGGTCACCGAGAAGTTTAGCATTCCTTCATACAGTTCTCCCTCAATCATTATGTGTCAAGCACCATTAACACAGGCTGGAGAAGCTCCCTTCCCTTGGGGGGACAATTTGGTCATCAACTAATTAATAATCACCAGAAAAATAACCAGGGTGGTGGTGAGGGCTTGCATTTAGGGGAGATGCTGACAGTATTTTCAGTCCTTTATCAATATAGGAAGTAGCACCTAATTAGCAACGAGAGGTTCAAATACCAGAAGGTCAAGTCCTTTGTACCTCCTCACCCCCACTGCACTTATGAGGCTACACCTCACTGTGAATTTTTCACTGGCCTTGTGCACACTGACACTGACCCTCTCTTCCCTCAGGGCATGGACTTCTTTCATAGCCTCCTTTCAGTGTCCACCCCATCCAACAGAACTGAACTGTGCTGCTTGCCCTGTCCCCAAAACTGCTAGTTATAGCTTTGGTAGTCATATAGGTACCACAGCAAACCATCCCTCAACAGGGATTGGGACGAAGGAGGAATATCACTACCCCCAGAATAAAAAGCAACCGCTGGGTGATGGTAATAGAGTAGGAAATGCAAACTTCACTTACCTGTAGCTTCTCAATCAAAGGAGAGTTTTTCACCTTGATTTTGGGAGGGTGGCCTGCATTGGGTGATGGTTTCTATAAATCAAATAGACCAAAAGAGCATTGTAAGAATGAGGACAGGGACAATTGCTTCTGGATGGAACCCAAAAGCCAGAGGGGAAATAAGAAGAAGAGAAAAGTGCTTGTTCTCATTGCTTTGTTTCAGAAGGTTACCTCAAGCAGACATGAGTTCAGTCCCCTCGTCTCTAGTGAGACCAGCTGGGTCTGAAAATTAGAGAAGGACCTCCCAATCTGAGTCTTAGCCCTTCTTTTTCAAAAAGGTGGGTTAACTGGACTGTGACTAAGAAGGGCAAGGGAGAGGCTCTGTGGATATATTACTGAGCCCCACCCTTAAGAAATCACATTTTGGGAAGATATATTTATAACACTTTGGTGAAGTCAGCCAATGACATCCTCTAGACAATTCCACACTTTAAAATTGTGTGTGTGTGTGTGTGTGTGTGTGTGTGTGTGTGTGCGTGTGTGGTTCCCATTTAACAAAAGAGGGAATTGAGGTTGAGCTGTGACACTAATGAAATCCCAGGTCTAGACCAGGGTCTAGAAAGTATCAAACTGGGTTACCAAACCACATCTCTTGACTCCAAATCCAGAGAGAGCTCTTTCTACTGGGCTTTGTAGCCTCTCTGTTGAACACTAATGGCTAGGTTACCTAGTCAAGTCAGCTAGCACTTAGTAAGCACTTACTACATGCCAAGCATTGTGCTAAGTGCTGGGGATACAAAAAAAATGCAAAAAGAACACTGCTGTTCCTTCTTTCAAAACTGTGCTTTGCTGTCCATCTCCTTAGGGCTTGGTTGGTTTTCAGCACTTACTGAGAAGGCACTGAAGGCCTACGCATGGAATAAGTGGAGAGAAGCAACCCAAGATGGCATGCCTCTTCTTCTATTTCCCTTTTTGGCACTTGATACCCAATGGCCATGCAATAAACGTTGCTGAGGAAGGGAATAACTAAGAAAACACACAGACACACAGACACACAAACAAAACAAAACAAAAACACCTGTTGAATGGAATTAAATTGAAAAGGAATGAAAACTGAAGATAAGCAGGGACAATTGTGCTCAGAGGCAGTAGATGGCAGCATTTTCATTCACAAGTTTTTCAACATGGGGCACACGCTGTAAGACATTGCTAGTGATGAACAGAACAAGGAGGAAAACAGATTGAAAAGAGCATTTTGTGCTAATCTTCGGGAAAGGTGAAACCTGAGAAGACTTCTAAGTGCTTGGCTGTTTAGTGTGGCTCACCAAGGAACAGGAGCAACCAAGTCAACATCACTGACTTCTGCTGGGGGAGCTCCTTCCTCCCTCTCTTTCCTCCTTTCTTTCCTCTCTCCCTCCCTCCCTCCCTCCTTCCTTCCTTCCTTCCTTCCTTCCTTCTTCCTTCCTTCCTTCCTTCCTTCCTTCCTTCCTTCCTTCCTTCTTTCCTTCTTTCCATCCTTCCTTTATTTCCTTCTTCCTTCTTTTCCTCACTTCTTCCCTCTTTCCTTCCTTTTCTCCTTCCTTCCTCTCTCCCTCCCTTCCTCTCCTCCCTACTTTTCTTCCTTCCCTCTTCCCTTTCTTCCTTTTCTCCCTTCTTGCCTCCTTCCTTCCTTTTTCCTTCCGATCTACCTTCCTTCCTTCTTCTTCTCCTTTCTTCCTTCTTTCCTCCCCTCCTTCCTTTTATCTTCTTTTCTACCTTCCTTCCTCCCTCCCTCCCTCCCTCCTTTTCTTCCTTCCTTCCACCTGTATTTATTAAAGTACCTGCCACAAGAAGCCACTGCACTAATTATGGAAGACACAAAACCACCACCAACAAAAATTGCATAGTCCCTGACCTCAAGGAGCTTACACTCTAATAAGGGAGTACAATATGCAAACATCTAAACACATGCAAATTAATTTCTGTGGGATCAGGGCACTAATAGCTGGGGCAATCAGGAAAGGTTTGCTTTTAGGAAGTTGTAAGTGATAGATGGTTAGAATGAGCCTTAAGGGCAGTCTTGAAGGCAATGGACTTGGAAGGAAGCCAAGCATTCTAAGAGGCCAAGGTGAAGAGAGAATGCACTTCTGGGAACAGGCTTGGAGGCCAGAGATGGCACTTCAAGTCTGGAGAATAGAAAGTAGACAATTTGTCTAGAACACAGAGTTATTTCCACCTCCTGCCCTCTTAGAAGACATTGGGCCTTCGAGGCCTTCAGCTCAGTCTTGTCATTTGACAGATGAGGAAATCACCACCAAGACAGGAGAACCAACTTGCTCTAAGTCACCGAGAGAGCTGGTGTCAGAACCAGGACTAGAACACAAGTTTTTTCTCCCTACTTATCAGCTAGCTAGCCAGCCGCACAGAGACAATGAATTTCTGCTAAGGCTTGTCAGACTGATCATGACATCATAGGATCTCCACCTTCAAGTACTGAATTCATAAGAGCTAATATTTATATACAAAAGAACCTCAAAGGCCACCTGGTCTAATCTTTTGTTTTCACAGATGAGGAAACTGAGGTACAGGAAGTTTAAGTAACCTGACCAAAGTCACACTGGCAGGAAGTATCCAACATAGGTTATGAACCTGGATCTTTTGACTCCAAAGTTAGGGTTTGGCCCAACTCTGCTTATCCCCACAATTCTGCCATCCCCTCTTTCATGGTTCTCTGGTATTGGTACCTGTTACCAGAGGCAATGAGTGGAATAGGAGTGCTCTGGGTGGTTCAAATCCCTTTGCTGGTTCTCTACGCCAGACTGCCTGTCTAAAACTGCTTGTCTGGCTTATTTTTATGTGTACTTCAAAGACCTTAAAGATGCTAGCCAGTGGAACCTAAATTATGCCTTCTTCTGTTGGAAACAGCTCCCTTCCTTAGCAAGTTACTTGCCTTTCTATCCAGGAGTTTCATCCCTGCCTCACTGAGCCCTTGGCTATTCCATTAGTAATAACTGGAAACTGGGACCAATAGTCAAACTAGGGGCAGCTAGGTGGCACAGAGGATAGAGGACCTGGAGTCAGGACTATCTGAATTCAAGTCCAACCTCAGACACTTACTGAGCAAATCATTTAACCTGTGTTTAACTCAGTTTTCTTTTCTGTCAAATGGAGATAATAAGAGCATCTCCTCACCAGGGTTTTCGTGAGGATCAAATAAAATAATAATTGTAAAGTGCTTAGTATATAGTAAGCATTATATAAATGTTAGCTATTATGATGATGATGATGATGATGATGATGATGATGATGATGATGGTGATAATGATTATTTCCTTCATCCTTCTCCAGGCTCCATTCCTTTCTCTCCCGACTCTCTCCATCATAATTCTCACCCTGGAAAGTTGCTCTGTCCCTCTGGTCCCTTCCTCTGACTGGCTGGTTGCTCTCAATACCTCCATTTTAAGGAAAGTGTCCAGGCTAGCCATGTCTTCATTCCTCTCCAAGGTCTGCTCTTTATTTTATAGACTTTGTCCTCCGTGCCCTCTCAGATTACCTTTTCTCTACCTGCTCCCCTTTTGATTTTTCAATTTCTTCTATCTTCCCCCATTAGAATGTAAGCTCCTTGTGGGCAGAGGCTGTCTTTCCTTTCCCTTGTATTTATATTTTTAGCACTTAGCACAGTGCCTGGCACATAGCAAGTGCTTAATAAACGCTTGTTCACTTGAGCAAGTCACTAAGATGGTGCAATCTTATTGCAAATATGTTCTCCCCAGGCTTTTTCATGCTATCTATGCTGTTCATTTTGCAGAATGCTTTTTGGGGGTTCATGCCTATAATATCATTGGTATAGAGAGCTCCCACTGAGGAAACTCACAATACCCGTGCAGAACAATTGTTCTGCTACCTTCAGTCTCGAAGAACTGCCTGGGGCCATGAGAAGTTATTGACTTGCCTAAGGTACCCCAGCTAGGTGAAGCAGTGGATAGTGCACCAGGCCTGGAGTCTGGAGAATCTGAGCTCAAATCTGGCCTCAGACACTTACTAGCTGTATGACCCTGAGCAAGTCACTTCACCCTGTTTGCCTCAGTTTCCTCATCTGTAAAATGAGCTGAAGAAGGAAATGGCAAACCACCCCAGTATCTTTGCCAAGAAAATCCCAGTGGGGTTATGAAGAATCAGACATGACTGAAACAACAGAACAAGGTCACACGACGAGTGGCATAGACAGAATTCAAACCCCAATCTCTCAAGCTGTAGTCCAGTGTAAGTTGATCGATCCCAATCAAAGGTTCTGGCTAGGTGGCAGAAGTATGATCCTATAGAATTGAACTCCTGTTTTGACTTTATTTGCTTGGGGCATTTCTGGTCAGGTGAAGAGTTAGGGCTTGGTCCTAGTGGGAACATCACAGAGGAGATCTAAGGGGCTGCCTGTGTCTCCCTGGATATGACAGAACCATTCCTGTTAACTACAACTAGATAAATAAGAACGGGTGAGTGTATAAGCAGTGAAGGCTATTATTGGCTCTCTCTATGATATCCGAGCTTTTATTATGTTGGTAGTCAGTTATTTATATCCTTGGCATTCTTCCAGCTATTCAAAACCATGGGCAGTCTTTAAAAAAATAAGCCTTTGCAGGGCCTTTGTATTTCTATTATTATGATTATAACCTCTGACACCAATTTACTACCGTGTATTAATATAGTGCTTTCCTTTAACTGTTCTTTTCAGTGTAAGACTGAAAGTTTTCCCCAGTGCTACTCAAGATGTGAAAATGTAGATGAAACCAGCTCTCAACTCTTAAATGCAATACATCCTGGCTAAGACCAGCCAGTTTCCATCTTGTATAGCCTCAGTGTTATAAAATGCATTTAAGCAGAATAGTTTGTGATAGAGGGCTCTGTTCTCTATCTTCCCCACCCCTAGCCCATCACCTTCAAAACTCCTAAAAAAAAAAGATGCTTAGAAGGATGGGAGGAGAAAGGAAGGGACTCAGGAGAAGTTCTGGGAAAAAAAGTTTCCTTTCTATTAATTAACTATTGTACTACGTTTGGGTTACACTGATGTTTCTGGGCTAACGTCCATGGCCCTGGATGCACACTAGTCTCCTGTGTATTGCTTTACACAGAAGTAGAGACCAGGGCAGAACATCCTTCCACTTCCGGAGCGACTTTCAAGTACCATCAGCTTTACTTACCTCCTCACCATTCTGGCCCATCTCTATCTTGGGGGGGAACAGGGAAAGGGAGCAAGGTGGTTTCCTTCTTGTTGGTTTATTGGCTGGTGGCTGGAGAGGGGGCCGACAGACACACAAGAGAGAAAAAGGGAGAGAGAGAGAGCTAGTTAAGTACCAAAGAGGAAGAGGAAGGAAGGGAAACCCATCCCACAGGGTATCCAGGGACATCTTCAGCTAGTGCAGGATTCTCCTTGAGGGAGGATGGGAGAGAGGAAGAGGATCAGGCATGCCTGGGAGTTCCCAGGCTTTATATCTCTATATAAAGTCCTATTTCACCATTTGCCCATTCTAAACTTTTAACCTCTTCTTTCCGGTCACGTTCCTTCTGATGGAATTCCCTCCTTTTCCTCCAGTTGAGATTCATCCACTTTTAACAACAGCTCAAGATATTACAGAAGCTGACCTCTTTCTGAGGAATGGTTGGTGACTCTATCACTCTCATGACGTTTCCACCAGGGCTAGAAATTATCAACCCATTTTTCACGTGGGAATACAACAGCAATGACAACCTGACATATCTCATATCAACCCTGCTGTCTCTTAGATTCCATGCTTCTGTTCCCCATCCCTTCAATGAGCTCCTAGACTGTAGGATTCAGTGAGCCTGCTAAACCTCTCATCTTTGCAAGAGTGTCATGGCCTAGTGTAAATGAGACACGAATTGTTCCAGGCTTGGAGCATCTCATCTCAAAGGCTCAGCCCTCGAAGGCCGAATCTCCTGTTCAAACCCACTGGTCTCTCCCTGTATCTACCTGTCTGAGATAATTTCCTTCCTAGAGCTTCACTGACTCCATACTTTCCTATAAAATAGCTTCTCTTTGGCCTTTTGCTGATCACCAAACTCCCAGTGCATCAGCCCCAGTCTCCCTCACACTTTCTCTTTAGCCTACATAGCACAGTTACCAGCCCAAGATTTCCTAGACAGAAGACCCTTCTGGAGAGAACAAGGGGGACATTTAGGTTAGTACTATGTAAATATTAATTGATGTTGAGGATAAGAATGAAGACAGAGATGAGCCTGCCTTAGAATGAATCCAATTTTCCATTCCCCCAGTAGCCATATGTGATTCACAGTCTGTGCGATGTTTTCTGTCTCTTCCACAATGGAGTCACTAGCATCACTCACCAGACACGCACCCACAATCTTTGGATTCAGACTGAATTCCTTCCTGGGTTCTCTTCTCATTTCAGAGACTTCCTTGTCTCCTCTTCACCTCCTCTCCTACCTTGACCATACTGGCCCCGACTCTTCCTTCTCCTGCTGAAGATGTAGTATTTCTGAATTATGAGTTGATTACTCTTCACTTACCTCCTTAGCTGAGATGGCTGCTGCCTTCTCTCTGAATCGGCCTGCAAGTTGAGCCACAGATGGGGATGCTGACTTGTCAACACCAGCATTAGTGTCTGCCAGCCTGTCCTACAAAGTCAAAGAGAAACAAAAGCTTAATCAAGTATGCACCACAGGCTTATGATGTGCCCACCTCTGGCGGCACACCAATGAAGTGTAAAGCATGGCCTCTGCCCTCAAGACCCTTACAGTTTTGTTGGGAGGAGATTAATGATGAATTTTGTTAGCATCTTGCAAAATGTTTTGGAGGTACTCTACGTGACAGCAGGTGTACCGACCTCCCTGGTACTACCCACAGATTTACCCTGAACTCTATTTTTAAAATAGAAGTGCACCAAAATGGGTTTGAAGCTAAAATCAACTGCAATGGGAGAAATAAATGTGAATTATTTACTATTAACTACAATATGTGCATGACAATATAAACGAATAGGCCAGATGCTCAGAAATGGTCACTAAACTTGGGCCAACATTTCTGGAAAGGACTTAGGAATTATGCTAAAAAAGGGGTGGGGACCAAAATGAGCACATTTTATTTTTTAGCACAGAGATCCCAGCGCTAGGCATTTACTCAAAAGACAGGGAGAAAAGTCTTAAACATCAATCAATAAATAATCAATAAATATTTATTAAGTGCCTACTATGTGCCAGGCACTGCACTAAGTGCTAGGGATACAAAAAGAAGCAAAAGATAGTCTCTGCCCTCAAGGAGCTTGCAAAATATTCAAAGCAGCACTTTTTGTGGTAGCAAAAAATGGTGCTACATGAATACAATGGAATATTACAGTACTATTTTAAATGATGATTATGAAGAATTCAGAGAAGCATCTGAAGACTTCTATGAACTGATGCAAACAACATACAAAGACTATATAATAATGTAAACAGAAAAAAAGATAAAAAATTTAAAAATAAAACAAATATAATCTTCAAAAAAAGAGAGATGGTCATCCATGACACTCATGATAAAAATATACAGAATGAGAATGGCAAAACGAATCCACTCAGGTAATTCTTAAGTTAGTTTTTGAGAGGTAGTGGTTCACTACTATTATTCACTCTCCACTGTGTAGAGATAGCTTGACTTGGAGTCAGAAAGACCTGGGATCAAATCCTGCCTCAGATACTGACTAGCTTTGTGACCCCAGATAAAAGCATTTAACTTTTTCAGAACCTGAGCTTCCTCATCTGTATAATGGAGGCAGTAATTGTGCTTACCTCACTGTGTTGTTTGTGAATGTCAAATGAGGTAATATATGTTATGTGCTCTGCAAACCTTAAAGCAGTCTATAAGGGTGTGTTATGACTATTACTCCTAAAATCAGGTCCTTTTACTACCACCCTCCCTTTGATTTATTCCATGGGGCCTTTCTTCTCTGTGTATCTGACATAGAACCTTTCGCCCCCCCGCCCCCCAACATGGGCTTTGGCTATTTACTGAGGAAGTTGTGATCCTATTCTTCAATCATCAAAGAGGCTATTTTCAGATGTTTGGCCCTAGAGCTATGCCATCATACCATTAACTCCCTTTGTGACCATCAGCAAGTTGCTTAATTTTTCTAGGTCTCAGGTTCCTTATCTGGAAAATGAAGGGGCTGGACAAGATGACCTGTAAATGGCGATCAATATAATAGGCCAGCATCAAAGAGTTCATGAAGAGCAAGTTTTATTGAACTAACCTTATCTTTTCTTTATGGTCCTAAGTGATGCAGTGGACTTTGAACTGGGAAGATGTGAATTCAAATGCAGCCTCAGACACTTCCTAGATGTATGACTCTGGGCAAGTTACTTGACCTCTGTTGCCTTAGTTTTTTCATCTGTAAGATGGGTGATAATAATTGTACCTGCCATCCAGGACTGTTGTGAGAATAAATTGAGATAGTATTTTTAAAGTGCTTTGCAAACCTTAGAGTGATATATGACTATTAAGCTATTATAATTATTATTATTATCCAAGATGACACAAGTGGTATGTATCACAGCCAGAATTTGAACCCAGATTCTCTGATTCCAAATCTAGGACTCATTCCACCATACCAGGCTGCCTCCACGTCTGTAAAATGGCCACTATGATGAGGATGGTGATGAGCCTTGCACTTCAGAGAAATTACAAAGACACAATTTCCTTGTGAACAAGATGGAAAGGCATGGACTCAATGATAATACAGTTAAGTGAATTTGGAACTGGGGAAATAATTGGACCAAACTAGAATGTTAATGGCCTGATGACAACCCTTCCAATCTGCAATTAAAAAATTCATGCACCTAGTCATCTCCTAGGACTTGGTTGACATTTTAAATAATACATCTGTAAACATTTCTTGTAATCAGTAGTTAATCATTCCCCATCTTATAGAATACTGTTCTTGACTGAGAAAGAGATGCCTTAGTAAGATCCATCAGTTTTTTATTCTTTTCTAGTCACAAATTCAACTTAATTAGTTTCTTATTTACTTAACATCACTTGCATAATTAGTGCTGCGCCATGGTGATAGGAGATGCAGACTAGCAAAAGCCATGGTCCAGCCTTCTCGGAGCTTAGGATCTCATTGAGGAGATAAGATATATCTATCTTAAAACTGTTAGAGAAGTATGAAAGCAGTGCATAATTAAATATTGTTGTTCAGTTGTGTCCAACTCTTCTGATCCCATTTGGGGTTTTCTTGGTAGAGATACTAAAGTAGTTTACCATTTCCTTCTCCAGCCCATTTTACAGAGGAGGAAACTGAGGCAAACAGGATTAAGTGACTTGCCCAGAGTCACACAGCTAGTAAGTGTCTGAGGCCAGATTTGAACTTAGGAAGATGAATCTTCCTGACTCAAGGCCCAGGTCTATCCTGCCCCAACTTTATTAAATACCAAAATGTATAATTCAAACAACAGATACTATGGGATGTCAAATGAGGGAAACAACTTCCTTAGCTCTGATACTCTGCCCCTTCATAGGCAGGAAGACCCATCAATCTCTCCTATTCCTATTCCATATCACTCCTTTAAATGTTGCTCCATTAATGGATTTTCTTACCCAGCCTACAAGCTGCCTCATCTATGCCCTCTCTCACCAAGGAAGGCAGTAGGTTCTTCCTCATTGGATACTTTAATCAAAGGCTAGAGGACCACTTGACAAATGTGCTGAAATGGTATTTCTTTTGTCACATACAAGTTGGATTTGATGGCCACGGCCCTTTCCTCTCTGAAATTCTGCGATCCTAGGATTTGTATCAAAACTTGAAAACAAAACACAAAAACCATCCTTCATGACAGAACCATAATCTAACAGCTCTCATACCTCATAACAATTCAGTGAAGTAGGAAGTGCAGGTGGTACTAGTCCCGTTTTACAGATGTGATTATTGACACTCAGAGAGATGAAATGACTCTCAAGTAGACATAACTAGTAGGTAGAAGAGCAGGAATTTCAACCAGATGCTCAGTCCAGCACCCTTCCCACTGCATGACAAAGTAGGAGATTGTCTAATATTCACAGAGCTGGAAGAGATCATTTTTAGAGATCATCTTGCGCAGGTAGTCAAGCCAAGGATATTTCCGACCCCTATTAGTGCAGCTGCCTCTGGGGCTGAGCAGAACACCTGTTCAAATACCCTCACACACCAAATTAGGAAATCCAGAGATTAATATTCTGTCCTCTCAGAGCAACAAGGGGAATTAATGGAGAGGGGGTTTGCTTAGTTGAGCTTCCCCCTGGCTAGGGCACTGGACAGAACAGTCTGCCCATCTCTCCCGACTCCTAGCCCGTCTACTATATCTGCTAGCCTATTACTATTATTACTCACATAGTGCTGGCAATGCATTTAGCTCTGCCTCAAAGGCGCCAATCATTAGCCGCCTGAAGAGGCTCATTCAGCTAAAAATATATCCTGTAAGAGAATCCAAAGCTCCTCCCCAACTTCCCCTTCTTTGAAGCTGACGTTGGCAGGTGGCTAGCTGGGAAGGAGAGAGAGAACCACGGGGCCTGTGGAAGGGACTGGAGCTACAAAGACAGGATGTGGAGGATGGCAGATTAGAGGAAGAGATCTCCAGACATCAGAGAAGCATCAACCTGAAGAGCTAGAAAGGATGTTAGTGAATACCCAGTCCAACTCTTCATTTCACAGATGTGGTAAGAGTCTCAGAGAAGTTAAGTGAGCTAAATAACTTACACCATAAATTACTAAGTGGCAGAGAAAGGAATCACAGACTCTCAGAATTTCAGCGCTGGAGGAGACCTCGTTGTTTAGGCAATTAGTTATGTCCCACTCTTCGTGACCCCATTTGGGGTTTTTTTGGAGTGGTTTGCTATTTCCTTCTTCAACTCAATTTGCAGATGAGGAAACTGAGGTAAACAGGGTTAGGTGACTTGCCCAGGGTCACACAGCTAGAAAGTGTCTGAGGCAAGATTTGAGCTCAGGTCCTTCCAACTCCAGGCTCGGCACTCTATCCACTGCACCAGTTAGCTGAGGGGCCTGCAGAAGCCACCTAATCTAATCCATACTCCAAAAAGAATTTTCTCTCTATGATACAAATGGTCATCCTGACTTTTCTTGAAGACCTACTGAAGCAGCCCACTTCACTTTTGTACAGCCCTCATTGTTAAGAAGTTGTTGGGTTTTCCTCCCCTGACAATGAGCCTAAGTTTTCTACTTTGCCTGTTGCACCCATTACTGCACAAGGAAGACCTCCACTACCTCTCTTGTCTCAACCAAGTTGTTTGATATCAAAAGTAGAACTTTGAGGGGATGACTTATAGAACAACATACCAGAGCTAGAAGGGGGCCTTTGAAATAATCTAGTAGACTCATTGATGTAGTTCAGTCACGCCCAACTCTAGGTGACCCCGTGGACATTATTGCCCTTGAGGTTTTCTTGATAATGATACTGTAGTGGTTTGCCATCTCCTTCTCCAGTGAGTCCCTATTTTATAAATAAGGAACTGAGGCAAATAGAAGTTAAGTGACTTGCCCAGGGTCACATAGCTAGTAAGTATCTGAGGCCATATTTGAATTCAGATCTTCCTGATTCCAGGCCCAGTCCTCTATCTACTATACCACGTATCATTACATGTTACTAAT